TTTTTTGTTCCAAAGTGATTGCTAGGTGCATTAGCCTGCTACGTTCATTGAGCAAAGATGTCCGACAGTGAGTGACACAATTGATGTGTGTTGCTAAGGACATTGGTAGCTCTGCGATGTTTATTCAGCCAAGTTGTTCGACATTGGATCTGAAAATTACATGCATACAGTAGGCCAGCCCGGCAGCTAGAAAAGAACTTCTGTCCTGTAAGCCCCAGGGCCCCTGGTGCCTAGAAAAACTAGGTAATTTTTGCTGAGCCACAATGTATCATGTTTAGCCTACCCATTGGGGTGTGGGGGAGGGAGTGCTGCCACTGATTAAGTGCTAAAGATCAAACAGTTGCACATTTTTAGTTGTCCTTGATCACTTCATATAAGAATCAATTGCATATGTGGTAAAGACAAGCCAAACCAGTCACTTGTTGCAAATCCTGTTTCACGCAGTAAGGACAATAAAAATATTAATGTTTAAGCTTCTGTAACCTTATAACAAGATGTCGGATTTTAATGATTATTTTACCATTTTATAGCTCTCATTTTACTATTTAACCCTGTATTAATAACTAACTAAAAATCAATTTTTGCGACGAGTGACTGGTTTTGCTTGTCTTTGCCACATATACAGTATTTACTTCTGTTTCTCATAAAGATATTTCTGTAAACCTTTCTGTTGTCTTATTACTGTACTTTGCTTTATTCTGTCATTTACACTTTAGGTGGTGGTAGCCTATTTGCTATTCATAATGAATGCGAGTGTTTTGATCCTCGTCACGACTCTTGGTTCAACATAGCGCCAATGAATTTTCGGAGAGCACGACTTGGCGTTGCTGCTGCCAGTCGATGTATTTATGCTGTTGGGGGGTAAGTCATAACCAGTGTACTGAGGAAGGGGTTTAAATATGTTGTCATTCACCTTCTCTTGACAGATTTTTCTACTCAAGATGCACCTTTCTTTTTTGAACAGTGCTACAAGCAGTGACTGTTGGAATGTCGCCATTTAAATGAAATGATCGATTAAGTGTAGCTAGAAGCATGTTTTTTGAACTGCAGGCTTTAGGATTCTATCTAGATTCTATTTAAATAGTTGCTGCGAAGCAGCCAATTTATATTCTTGACAGCAATTTGACCTCTGAAAGGTCATTGTTTGTCAAAAAACCTGCGCCTAAGACAACTGAAAAGCGGAGTTTCCTTCTTTCGTTCTGCCGGGTAAAATCAATTACTTTAGGCGACGTTTGTAGACTAACCTACTCGTACCAACGTCCGCATATCGCGACGCTGGAGTACTATTCAGCGTTTTTACTATATTTCTAGGTTTCCTATTTCTACGTTTAATCGGCTCATGTCTCAGCCACAATATTTTGAGGCCAATATTATTTACGAACCCAGGTAAATACAATTTTATACACATGCGCAGATCGATTCGCCAGCAGCGAGTCATCGCCAGCAGCGAGATGTCACTGCAGCAAAACACTATTGAACACGGTACCAACGCTGTTCTAATATAGACAATGGGTCGTGTCTCATATTATTTGTTATATTTTTATTATTCATTATTTTCACTTGACTCGCATAAATAATTTTGTTCGAAGAACATTTTATGCAGTTTTACTTCGCAGCACTTCACTTGCAATTTGCAATTTCTAGTTGTTAGCTAATATTTTATGCTGGTTTTTATATTTTCATTTTCATCTCATTTATTCCACCGTATTTAAATAATAAGTTGTGGTACACAAAACCTAAAGCAAATTTCTTTTCTCGTCTATATTTATTAAGGTGGACCCAGTCAGTTTACCCCCTTACCCCCAACAGGTCAGGTAGTATTTAAGGGCCCTCTTAAATATATTCTGGAAACAAATATGATTCTTTATTATCTCTACATTTATATGTAGGATTACTGTTAAGATGTACTTGTTATCTGCTACTACACCAAGTTCCTAATATTGTAGTCTAAGCACATTTAAGTTCAGCACAGATATTGCATCTATAAATAGTTTCTAACTTCGAAAGTTCAAAGGTTGTATGCTGTCTTTTTATAGGTATGATGGGTCTGGTGACCTTTCAGTTGTAGAATGTTACAAACCAAAGCTAAATACATGGACTGAGTGTGCTTCAATGGGAACACGCAGAAGTTGTCTTGGTGTCGCTGTTCTTAATGGCCTCTTGTACGCCGTCGGTGGCTACGATGGTGCCTCTTGTTTGAATAGCGCTGAGAGGTACGATCCGTTAACCAACGCTTGGACTTCAATCGCTGCCATGTCAACACGGAGAAGATATGTCAAACTTGCTGTTCTAGGTACTTTTCAAAACCTTTAATTTTATAGATATTATTATATTCCATGTACACCTTTACCACAACTACATCGCTATGGAACACCAATTTTTTTTCAGTGACTTGAAATATCTGTCTGGCAGAGTAATAATATACTAATTATATTAAATGCTTGCGGTACACCATGCACATAATTCTGAATAGAACCATTGTTTTTGTTGAGAATGTCTTGATGTTTTGATTGAGTTGCTTCAATCGTCGTCAGGAGAATAATGTCAGCAGAGTGTGCAAACAGAGTGAGAGTGAGAGTGAGGTACACAAAATGTAATTCTAGTATGCTAAAATGAAAGGAATAAACAAGGTTCAATGGCTAGGTCTATCATCGGTATACCGTGGCGGTGCTATTGGGTGGGGGGCTAGGGTCGGGTTTGCACCACGCGACAGGTAAAAAAAGTAATATTTTTCAGGTCAGTTTGATATACAGTATTCAAGAAAATACATATTATGGAGTGATATTTTGACAAAAAATAGGATTCAGTGTTTCTGATTAAAGTATCATCTATTTCGTGAAAATATGTTCTGAGTTGATTTAAGCTAAACGTGTTTGTGAGGCAAATATTGTATAGCTTTTTTTCCAAATTGATAGGAAAACACAAAATTTATCTTTATAATAATGATGAATCTTTATTTAATGACAAAACTCTGTCATCGTGTGGGTGTTCTTTCAAAAGATTTTTAGGTACAATTGAGTTGGAAAATTACTAAAGCAAACAATATTACAATATGATAAAACGCTTTTGATAGTCTGAAAAGATAATAAACAGGAATTTGTTTGATTTCAAAGGAATCAGTTATATTTTTCCAATAGTTCAAGTATAGTGTGGCAAGTATAATGATTGGTCTGAAACCATGTTGTTGTCTATTTAGAAAGTTATTACAATATAATAGGAATTCAGATTCAGAATCAAGTAAAATAAACAAATTTTGATTTGGCATAAATAAAAGAGGATCAATGTAATTAGTGGCAAATGAGCTGATTTACTTTTGGGCATATAGACGAAAAATAGTTGTTGAAAGAATTGCAAATATCTTGTATGTTTTGAGATTAAAGTATTATCAATGGAAAGAGTTATGGATTGGTTTGTAATAATTTTATCAAGTTTAATAAACCTAACTATTTCAGAGAAAAATTTCCAAATGTCATGGTGGTCCCTTCACTATCAACATCAGGGACATCAGCTTTTTTATCAACAGTTTTTTAATCCTCCAGATGACTTTCTGTGGGCAGTGGGTGGATATGATGGCTCCACCCACTTGTCTAGTGTCGAAAAATATGACCCCAAAACAAACACTTGGACTCAAATTGCGAACATGAACAACAGAAGAAGTAGCATGGGTGTCGCAGTGATTGAAGATGTTTTGTATGTTGTCGGAGGCAATGATGGTGCATCGTGCTTGAACAGTGCGGAGAGATTTAATCAAGACATTAACATGTGGGAACCGGTAACACCAATGACCACAAGGAGGTCAGTAAATTTTCTTTCATTCTCTATTACATAAATCCAAAGTCAAGTCCATCTAAACAATTATAATTATATCTCACAGTACATGCTCATCATTTTGTTAATTCCTTCTGCAATGTAACAAGGAAAGCTTTTCGTTTTGGGACTCGCCACATCTAATGTTGACTAAGGTGATTGCTGTTGATTTATAGGTACATATTCAGCTTAAATACTGTCACCAAGTCATCTTGTTGCAAGAACCAAGACCACAGAAGTGCTGTAAACTCGTACTCTATCAAAATGGGTTTTTAATTTAAATGAATAGAGCACATCATTAACTTTATAATGAGGGCTCAATGACCTTAATCGGACAATTATGTGTAAAGTTAAGCTATTTTGAATTATAATTATTCTTTATGAACTGGCTTATAAAGTTCCAAATCTTTTCCAACAGGTCATGAAACAGCTTAGTATTCTTTGAATTAATTCAAAGCTATTTCCTTCATTTAGGTATAATTTACGTAAGCTTTTTGTTATGTTTTGTATAAAAAAAAGTATTATATTTCGAGACTATTTTTGTACTGATGGAATTTTGATGGAATTTTAATGTACAGTGGAACCTCGATTTTACGTACGGAATGGGACCGGAGGGCGTACGTAAATCGGGGGATTCGTAAAATTGAGTTAAATTTGTGGTAACCTTTGACCTAATACGTGCGTAACGCTTAATAAACTTATGTTATGAACGAACGATGTTACCTAGGCTAGACCAAGCCTCTAGGCCTACAAATAAAACCATGTGTCTAGTTTATTAATTCATCACTTTTATTTAACTAAAGAACATGAAGACATTGTAAGATTACCTATACGATAAAGGTTTAACTTGGGAATTCCCCTTCATGGCTATTCTAAACAACAGAGCTGTGGTGTTGTCTGGGCCTGCAGAGACAAACTAAGACCATGTTGCGCTGCACTGGGCGAGTCAACCAATTAGCGGTATTAGACTCAATCAACGTTGCTGTTTAATGTAAATATGTTGCATTATGGTTTGTTACCATTATTGTTATAGTTTATTGTTATAGTCTTTTAACTTATGGTTGCTCTGAAAAGGGCTGTTTGTTTTGAATATTTTCGGGGATTTAGATGGCGTCATCGTCGATACGAGACGTACGTAAAACCTAGGGTTCATATAACAGGGGTACGTAAAAACGAGGTTCTACTGTACTGGCAAATAAAGTAATTTCACTACTCAATAAAATGCATTTGAAAGTGAAATAGACAATTTGAAACTAAATAGACAATAGAACAAACTAGAAACATTTCCGTATAAGACTGACAATATGCTTTCCAAAATGACTGCTTCTCACATTTAAAATTACTCTAGTATAAACCAAGGGTCAGTAGCAAGGACAGTACAATAATACAGAGGGAGCGATAGAGAGGAGCAGGGAGACCAGGTCTCCCCGTCGGGTAGGGCTGCCCCTCTCCCTCCGTCTTGGAGAAAAATAATTTTTCAGGGGGAAAAAATAGGCTATATATATTTTTTACACATTATGTTTTGTATAAAAAAAAAATTATATTTCAAGACTATTTTTGTACTGATGGAATTATAATGTATTGGCAAATAAAGTGATTTCACTACTCATAAAATGCATTTACACTTACACAATGCTTTAAACAGAAATGAAATCTAAGAAAATATTTGAAAGTGAAATAGACAATTTGAAAGTAAATAGACAATAGAACAAACTAGAAACATTTCCGTATAAGACTGACAATATGCTTTCCAAAATGACTGCTTCTCACATTTAAAATTACTCTAGTATAAACCAAGGGTCAGTAGCAAGGACAGTACAATAACGCCACTGCACTAGAGCAGCTTCTGTTTGGTGACTAATTCGGTCTATTTCCAACTCAGAAAGCTGCTAGATAAGACCTGTCCAAGAAAGATCACTAAAAATTCACAACAATCTGGTATATACAGTATTTGTACAGTTCTTCAAGTGAATTGTTATCACAAAGCATAAATGAGTTAAAAGTAACCAAAAAAAAAAACAAACAAAAAAAAAGACATGTCAATATCAGGGTGGACCCAGTTTCAGTTTACGTGTAAATTCAAATAATGTGGGCCCATTTTCTTAAATGTTGTCCCATTTTACGCAAAAATCTGGACCCATTTTCTTAAAGATTGACCTATTTTATACAAAATTTGAGAAATCTGGATCCACTTTCTTAAAAGTTGGCCTATTTTACACAAAATATGAGAAATCTGGACCCATTTTAAAATGTGGACCCATTCTTTGTGGACCCAATACAAAATTGTGTGGGACTGTCCCAATAGCTGGCTATAGCATTGCTGCCTTTCTAATGACAGGGTTCTGGGTTCCATTCAAGAGACTGCCAAAAAATTCAAAAAATACTGGAATGTCAAAATTTTTGAAATCTATTTTACTGCACTAAACTAACTTTTATATATCTATATGTCATGCTATGCTGTTGTTATCCCCATTTTCAATGTTTAAGCAACAATTTTTAACGATTTGGTGATGGGTTCTCCCTGGGAAATGCCCGAAATCATAAACTTTGAAGGCCAATTTCTCAAATATTGTTCTTTCAACAGCTGTATGTTTAACTCTTGTAAATTTATTCTACCATTTCATAGCTCATTTTACTATTTAAATATGTATTAACAACTAAAAATTGATTTTTGCGACCAGTGACTGGTTTGGCTGGTCTTTGCCACATATGCTATACATTATCTTTTGAAATACAGTAGTGATGTTAATTAAACTCACCATGCTGAAATCTGAGGCATTAATATCGTATTACGCTCTCATGAGATATACTGTCAATCACTTGAAGAAGCCAATCTGTTGTCAATCGACATATACCTATGTTGTTTGTATGTTGTTATACTAAAGCCATTAAACACATTGCTGATTTTATTATGTCATATTTTCTACCTTTCTATTAATTAGGGTATGTTCACAGACACGGCGTAAAACTGGCGTAGCTTACGCCAGCGTAAGCTAATCCACGGATTAAAATTCCAAATTGTTCACACAACAGCGTTCACTCAGCGTGACTACAAACAATGTTCACTCAGCGCGATTAACGGAATACGGTTGGCATTTTTTGCTCAAACGGGCCCTTAAGGTTTGACACCCATTTTCAATCACTGTTCTGGTTAATCAGTTCTTGAGTTTGATTGACACAATCTAGGAAGGTCAATTGAAATCAGTTCATTCCCATCTAGGCTAGACATTTTTTTTTGACAATTACAAATTTACAAGAACATTTAAAAGGCTAAAATTTCCAAAAAAATAAGAACAACCTAAGAACGAATGAGGTTTTTATAAAAAAAAAAAAAAAAATAGAAAACCCTACAGCTTATCCGTACCTTATTCATTTTGTAGTAGGTGTTGCTATGTAAAAATAATACAGCACAGATACTGCTGTTCAATACTGTATTAATTTTCTATGTTTGTAAAGTGTGTAAAACTAAGAAGAAATTGGCAAAAAATGAGCCTGGGCAAAATTTAACTGGTTCTTATAAAAAAAAAAATAAAAAAAAAAGAAGAAGAAGTGTAGTTATCTAGAGGTTGTGGGTTTGATTCCCACCTGAATCACTTAGTATATGGGAATGTACTGAGTATTTGATCAGGTAGGGCAAAACATCACTCCTATGATATTTCTATTATGTGCTAACTAGGCTAGTGGTAATCACCCTTTCTGTTTTACCATTACAGTAGTGGAACAGTAGCTAGGTGGTTGGTTAAGAGTCTGAGATCAAATCTTGTGAAACAACAGAATTTTTTTCTCACTTTCTTAGATTTGTATACAGTATTTAGTTTATGAAGCGTCACATTATTTCAGAGGGCCCTGATGAATACCAGCAGACCTTCGAGCATTGACCAAGTTGATTGGCCGAGCAGTTAAGTCAGGGACACCATAAATTTCAACTATAATATCAGTGCTGGTTCTAACGGCTCACTCGCCAATAGTTCGGGTGTGGAACAAGTCTTCTTGGATAACGACTTTAAACCGTAGGCCCAGTGTATGCATTTGGCTTGTGTGCACTTTAAAGAACCCAATACGTACTTCGAGAAGATTAGGGGGTTACCATGGTGTACTGGTCCATTCAGTCCCCTGTTGTTTAATGAATATGCCACGTAGGATAGTGATTAACTTCACTGATTGGCATATCCTTGGCGCTCGTGCCTAATGAAATGAAATGAAGAAAAATGAAATGAAAAGCATTATGTCTTTGATATATAGGACTTGTCATCTCAAAACCAGCATCTGTGACCAAAAAAATTACATATCAAAAAGCGCGCCACCGTGAAAATCACCCTCTCAACCATTAGTGCTTCTTCTAAAACATTGACTGTTTTTACTACAAAAACTGTGACTCAAGACCAGAGGTCAAATACATTAGGTTGAAACGGTCTATAGAAAGTTACACGTAGAGCTATTGCAAACAATTTACAAAACATATTTCTTCAAATAGCCCCGTAATTTTTGGGTTGAATTATGAAAATATAGGCGATTATTAGTGTGTTTCCACTGCTGGCATATGAGGAGTTGTTTCTTTACAACGTTGTAACTTTGCCTACACTAATCCGATCGCTTAGGTTGAAGTGGCAGCGGAAAGCAAATTTTCTTGCGATCTGTTATATATAAAAATTAATGTGATTGAATGAAATTTTCTTCCTTCATTTATTTAAATTTATGAAAGGCTTTCAAGAAGAAAAACTGCCCTGGCTCACAGGGAATTGGCATGTTCCATTTTCTGAACTGAAGGAAATATGGTACCTGTTGTATCAAAGACTTGTTAATGTTCATTACAGGGGTGTATCCAGGATTTTTTCTGGGTGGGTCATGATCATAATTTTTTGGACCTTTCACAATGAAATAACAGCAAGATGTGATTAAAATGTCAATATAATTTTACAAAAAAATAGAAATTCTGCTGAATTGACACAGACTGAGAACTTTCATTCCTTGGAATTGAGATAGATTAC